GCAAGATAAATCCTTTGGCCATCCTCTCCCTCTGCTCCTCTGAATCTGTGGGACCTACAAAAATGGGGATATTGAAGTTCTTCAGTACGGTATATAACTTTTCAAAAAACTTCTGAAATATCAACAATTTTTCTCTCATCATGTTACATCTTTCTCCCTTTTCGTTCTTTATTACTCCAATCAGGCTTTTTACCTTTTTACCTTTTTAACTTTTGTGGCTCTAGCCAACATTCTAGAATTTTTATTACTATTTTCATAAAATTCCCTATTTAAATAAATTAGATTTCTTTGAACCTGTTCTAACTCAATATTTTGCAACTCTTTTCTTTTAGCTGATAATTCTAACATTCTATTCTCTCTACTTTCTATATATTTACTCTCTAGTTCTTTAATTTCCTCCTCTAGCCTTTTTATATATTTCTCTTTTTGTTTTCTTATATTATAAGAATATTTTATCCCTACACCTCTTACCACTGTTTTCATTGCATCCCATATTACACCCAGGGGTTTTTTTCTCATAGAACGCCCAGAATGGAGTTCTGGCACCTTTTTTGGATGGAACCTTGTAGGGTAGGCAAGGCATGACGTGTGTGAGTTCCGGCACTTTTTTGTTTTTTTTAGAAAAAAAGCACTGATTACACCTATATTACTATCTCCTTCTTCATTTATAGTCCATATGTCTTTTAATTCTCTTTCCATTTTCTCTAAAATCTCTTTATTTTTAAAAATCCTCGAATCCATTCTCCATCTACTTGCCTGTTTATAATCTGTTTATAATCACAATCTATTTCCATTTCCATAGTTACCGTTGCATGATCTGATATTTTAATAATTTTTATCTCTGCTTTTGTTATTTTAGATAATATTTCCGATGTTACAAATATACAATCTATTCTTGTACAATTTTTATGTCTGCTAGAAAAATATATATAACTCTTTTGATGGGATTGATTCAGTTTTTAACCCTCCAAATTGAATTTGTTCAAGTTGATCCACATTGAAATCAGGCGCAAACTGATCTTTTCATTCTGATCCAATGTTAGTTTCTTTTGCTTTGCAAGATTTTCTCACTGAAATACCACAAGACCTTAATATCTTACTCAGTTTGTTTGTCTTTGAAGTACTTATTTTGAGGGGTATTGAAGATTATTTTCCTTCCGTAATGTGATGTGGGATACTTTGATATATCGCCTTTATAGCTGTTTTAAATTGATCTCCAAAGTTCATATAATCCAACACTTTATTTAAAAACTGCCATTCCAATTTGTCGAAGGCCTTCTCCGCATCAAGAAAGATAAAGGCCGAAGGTATTTGATTATTCTTATCCAAATATTCCAGTAAATTTACAAATTGCCTGATGTTGTTCTTCATGTATCTCCCAGATATGAAGCCAGTTTGATCATCATGTATATAATGTTGCAGTATCTGCATCAGTCTATTAGCCAAAATTTTTGCAAAAATTTTATAATCCACATTCAACAAGGAAATAGGTCTATAATCTTTAAGTTCCAAAATTTCTTTGTCATCTTTCGGTATCAAAGATATAAAG